CCTCTGCCCTGCACCCCCACACACCCCCAGCCCTCTGCCCTGCACCCCCACACACCCCCAGCCCTCCGCCCTGATCCCTGAACCCCACCCCAGCCTTCTGCTCTGAACCCCAGCCCTCTGCCCTGACCCCTGAACTCTCCCCCTCCTCCCCCCCCCCCTCCCCGAGGTCTGGGGTCCCGGCCATAGGCCCTGCTCAACCCACTGCCGGCCTAGGTGAACAGAACCCCAGGCTGGCAGCGAGCTGAGCAGGCTGGTGGCGTAAGATCAGCATTTTAATTTAATTGACGCTTCTTAAACATTTTGAAAACCTTGTTTACTTTACATGCAACAATAGTTTAGTTATATAATATAGAATTATAGAAAGAGACCTTCTAAAAACGTTAAAATGTATTACCGGCACGCGAAATCTTAAATTAGAGTGAATAAATGAAGACTCGGCACAGCACTTCTGAAAGGTTGCCTACCCCTGCTGTAGGAGCTAGGACGGGAAGAAACCTGAGGTGTTGGTGGGCAAAGAGGCCTCCTGAGGGATTCTTCAATTTTTTTAACTCTCTGCTGGCAACCCCAGTGCTGGCTGCAGCCGTATTTCTCTAATAAAGCTGCTCGTTCTGTGGTACTGCTTGTTCTGAGGGAGCTGATTGGTCACTGACTGTACCAATGCGCTGCCTTTTCCCTAGGGATTCCGAGTGGCTTACGTGGTGTTTAAGAATCCGGCTGGGGTACAGGCAGCCAAGTCCCTATCGCTGCAGGGCCCCCTGATGATATCTTCGGAGAGTCACCCTGTGAAAACCGGTATCCGCAGTAAGTCACCTTGTGCTCTCCAGACTTGTCGGGGGGAGGGTGTATCAGAGAGGTGTCTCATCCTGGCTATCCCCCACGCCATAACAGTGCCATCCAGGTTGTGTGTCAATCACCCCTCAACAGTGATTCTCATGTGCCCCACGTTGAGTCCAGCATTTCCCCTGTCCCCTCTCCTTTTGTTCTGCATTTCCTGTATTCCTCGCTCACCCCACATGGAGCTTCTCACACTAGTGGAAGGACCTAGTTCCTGATCACAGGCTCCATAACCAGCTGCTCTGGAAGGGGTGGGGAGGTCCACAAGGGAGTTGCAGTTGTCACCACTGTATGGTGCCTTGGTCACTCAAATGGTTGTGCGGCCCTTATCCATAATCTTTCAGTATCTTCTCTGGTTTGGGGGAGTTGGCCTTGACTTGCTTATAACTGAGAATGAGACTAGTCCCCATTCCTATGGCACCATGCATTGAAAGATCACGGTGTGTTTTACTGACATCAGTGAACTATTCAGCTGGGAGCGCAGTCCATGGCAGAGCCAGGATTTCCTGTGGTTTGGCACCTCCTCCTGCTGATGCTGACATTCTTGCTTTAGGTTTAGAAGGATGTGATGCACTGTAAGGAGATGCTAGATCCTCACAGCAGAGGATGTTAAATTTGAACTCTAAATGTTTAGGGCTCTGGCTGGCTTGTGTGGTGGGGCATGGAGCCACTCTGCTCTGACACTGGATTCTCCCCAGCCCTAGACGTGAGTGGCTATCTGCTATTCTCATCACACAGATGTTCATTGGCCTGTGTGAAAGGAGCTGGCAGGCATCAGCCCAGATCATGGTGAGAAAGGTGCCTGGGTCCCATGAACCACTGTGGCCACATTTGTAACTCACTGGCTCCCTTGCTGGCCATCTTAGCAGGCAGGGCCTGGAGTGATGACATGGAGACTGACCACCTCTCTGGTCCCTAGAGTTGTTCTGTCCAGGGCTGCATTGAGGTATCTTGTTGGGAGTAGGCTCACTGCAGAGGCAGCCACTGACCTTTTCCCTCCTTGTCTCAGAGTGGATCGCCAGTTATGCAGCTTCAGTGGTGGATCCGGCAGAGCTGAAGGCTGAAGTGGACACCTTCATGCAAACCTATGATAAGAAAATAGCAGAGGTAGGAAGGGCTGATGAGATAAACCAGGCATGTGCTTTCTTAGAGGATTCTCTGCGCCTAGCAAGTCCTTGGGGATTGTCTGCTGACTGGCCTGTTCCTGTTGGACAGAGCAGCTCTGCGCAGCAGCAGGAATGCCCGAGTCTTCCAGTATTTCACATGCTGTCAGTTTGTCCGCGCTCTTTATCAGGGTGGCTGGCTGGGCAAGGCCTCCTGTTTGGGCCCAGGGTTGCCGTCTCCCAGTTGCTGGCAGGCAGTGCACAGGCACTAGATCTGACCAGGTTCCATTACTCTCCCCACAAGCTGTGGTATAGTTACCACAAACACACCAGCTCTTGGATGCCCACATCCTCAGCGACTTTGTATCACAATTCTACAGCTCCCTCAGAACACCGCCCTGGGCCTTCTCGCATGGCAGAGCAGCAGGCACTGGGATTCTCCGTGCCCTTGGGGCATGAGGGAGGTGTTTGCTGGGTAACAGCCTCAGGAAGCTGTTGTGGAATGGAACCAGTTGGCTCATGACAGGTTTGGACTAAGCTGCATTTTCTCCCTCATCCTCCTCACCTAGGAAGAAGCCAAAGCGGAGAAGGAGGAGGGTATTCCAGATGAGGAGGGTTGGGTGAAGGTGACACGGAAAGGCCGAAGGCCAGGACTCCCCCGGACAGAGGCTGCCAGCTTGCGGGTGCTGGAGAGGGAGAAGCGAAAAAGAGCACGCAAGGAGCTGCTCAACTTCTACGCCTGGCAGCATCGAGAGACCAAGAGAGAAAGTGAGTTGTGTAGGCAGGGGGTGACTATCTCCTTGTTCCCCAGTATCACAGTCTGAACACCCCACCAGTCCAGGTTGTTTGTCATCAATACTGTGACAGGTGAGAGTGGCCACCACTGCTCTTGTGAATTCCAGGCACAGCTGCAGGACAGCCAGCTGCACCACTTCAGGCTGCGATCCTGTCAGATCTTGGCAGCTAAACGGGGTTGGTTCTGGTCAGTATTTGGATGGGAGACCTTTGCGGAAAACCTAGAGAGGTGGTGTTGATTCAGATGGTCGCATTTTCCCCTTCTGAGTTAGTGCAGAAGCAATACCCAGCAGAGTGCTATGGGGAGCTTGGGTTGCTATCTGAATGGTACATGATCATGAGATCCTTGCTGTCTTGTTCTCATTGGCATGGGATCAAATCAGTCTTTTGTTAGCCCCCGTGTCCTTTCCAAATTCCTGTTTCGGTGGCTGTGTTCTCTCAGTTCCTCTTGAATTCCCAGTGAATATCATTTTCACTGGCTGCATACAGGCAGCTGTGTAAAAGTAAACAGCGTCATGTTCCACCCCAGATGGAACTGCAGCGTGACAGACATGTGAGTCCCTATGTATGCAGCACTAAATTCAGCACTGATGCAGTGGGAATTGCACCACTTAACTTGAGTGGCTGTTGAGCCTGCTTGTGCTGGGATTGAACTTGCTTCCCAGTCAGTAAAGAGCTTTTGAGAGCCGCCAGGGTACAAAGCTCTCGAGCAAGGTAAATCTGCTGCTCTTGGTAACATGGCCGTACCCAACCCCCCTCTTCGTCTTTTCAGACATAGCCCAGCTGAGGAAGAAGTTTGAGGAGGACAAGCAGAGAATTGTGCTGATGCGGGCCCAGCGCAAGTTCCGGCCATACTGAGCCACTCTGGGCGCTGCCACGTCCTTGGATGTTTCCGCAGGAGGGCGCGTTGAGAAGCTCACTTCCTAGAGGCCCCTCAGCGGGCTCTGTCTGTATAGTGACACCGATTTGTTCCCTCTGCTGTAACCTGGGCCCTAAATGAGAAATCCCCAGTGGTTACAAGTGGAGGGTTGGATGGAGCTCTTCGTGTGCTGAACATGTCTCTAGTGGCAGCGAGCCCAGCACAGAGACTCCCATTAGCATGACTCGTGCTGTTCACAGGCTGCAGCTCCTCCTGTGCTGAGTGGGATGGGATCCTCCTGTAACCAGCCTCACCTTTTATCTTACTGCACTGTCTCCTCTGGACACCCGTCTTAAACCAGATCCCCCAGCAAGGGATGAGACCCACCCCCATTCCTGGACAACCGCAGAAGGGCTGCTGCTGAATCAAAGGCAATAGAAATCCACTGTACGTGAATTGTAAATAAACTGCCCCTGTTTCCTATGTACTGCCTTATTGCCCTTGTCAGCCCTCAGCTACCAGCTCTCCACATGCCTGCTTGAGTAGATAACAGGGTGGGATACTATATGCAGTGTGTGCTGGGCAGAGCTTCTGCCCTAATCCAGGCCAAGCTAGTATAGTGCCTGCTGCGGTGAGCCTCCCCCCTCCTCCCAGGAGAAGAAGTGAGGCCCTGTGGAAGGAGGGGAGAATGCTCCTGTCCCTCTGGGGCCTTGCCCTGTGGCAGTTTTTCAGAGCGCTGTGCTGGTGCTTGCAGGCTCACAAGGCAGGCGTTCATGCTTCCCTCCCTGCTGTCAGGGACGCGGCGCACTAGAGTCCACCACGGGCCTCCTGCTTGTTGCCTTTAGGGCACTGAGCTACTCTGGCTTATCCTCTGTTTCAGTAAATTCACAGGAAGGCAGGGTCCGTGTCCTGTGTTTCTGACTGCAGGGGTGGTGCTCAAGGGGGCCTGTCTGTAGAGCTTTGGCTGGGGGAGGGAGCCCCCACAGGCCCATGATTCTCCCCCACAAGCCTCTCATACCCCTTCTCTCAAATAAGGGTGGATCTGTTTTAACAGTCCAGCTCTCTTTTGGAGTAGGTGGCCCCCTTTATTACAGTGATGGCAGCTAGGCTATTGCTGGTTTAGCGCATGGGAAGAGTGTGACCTCTTTTGATTGCCTCTGGTGTCCTTTACAAGCCAACTGATCACTCAGCTTTGAGTAGAAACTAGAAAATGTGTCACGATGGCTGCTGTTCATGGTCTAACTGTGAAGCTCTGGGTGTTCCTACAGGGTTGTCTGTCTCCCTCAAGCAATGCCACCACCTTCTACTCCCCTACTAATACCAGATTGTGGCTTTTTGCTCAAATGCTGTACTCTCCTTGGATGCCCCTGACACCTGCCTTCTGGGAAAGGGCAAGCTGCCGCAGCTGCCCTATCAGGCTGGAATGGATGTTGCCTTTGCAGCCATTCCCAGGACAAGAAGTGCTCTGGTGTCTTGGATCTGCATGAACATTGGTTCATGGAACTCAATTAGTCTTGGTATTCTCTCCCTACCTACTCCCCCCAGCAGTCTTCTGTAACCTGCTAAGGAGCAGAACCTGCACTGTGCACCCACTGGCTGTGAGTGCAGCTGGTGCCAGAATAAATTCATGTCACTCCTGGCTAAAATGCTCAAGGAAATGAGAGATGCAGAATTGTTATAGGAGGCAGGTACAGAGTGAAGAGAGGTGGAGTGTCATACAATATCAAAGAACTCACTTCTCATGTATATATAAACACCATATGTATTATAAGCTGTCAGTAGTGGTGGGGAAGTGCCTGGCTTACCCCTCCCAGTCCTTTCCAAAGCAGCACATCACCAAAACTAAGCAAGGGGGTTTGCTTCCTGCTGATGAAACTGCACCAGGTTTAACAGGGAAGTGGACCTTAAATCCAGAAGCTGCTGTTGTAACATGTGAAGTGGAGGTATGAGGTGGGACTCCTCCCCGTCTTCATTTGCACACAAAACAATTTGCTCAGCTCTTCCTTGCGGAGAGTCCTCTGTGCCTGTTTGCTGAGACAGGTTCTTTTGCCATTCCAAGCCACTGGGCTCAAGAGAGGGATGAAAATCACGTAATGAGCAAAACTTCAGGGCCCAGCCAGGTAACGGTGCTGTCTCGTCTCACATGCCAGGCTATTAAGCTCCTTGTCCTCTTTTGTCTCTGCTGCTGTCTGCCCTGGAAAGCTGGTAGCCAAGCCCTGCTGCAGGAATCCAGGCTACAGCCTGGCTTTGGAGCTCTGGTCCCTTTTCAGGAAGATGTTGATGAGCCCAGCCACTACTTCAGGTTCATTCAGGTGGACAAAATGATTCCCAGTCACCTCAGCAAACTGGAAGTGCTAGAGGGAGAGAACACAGGGAGATGTGAACTGGAGGAAATACTTCTCCACGCACTCTGTAGTTAGCTGTGGAACTCACTGCAACAGGAAGAAATCAAGCTAAATGCTGGGGCTAAATATTTTTCCTGAAGAGAGGGATCGCTTCATTAGCAGATGCTGTAGACATGCAAATTAAAATAAGCATCATCTCATCTCATCCTGCAAGGTTGTAAAATGATCTACTGAGAGGGGCAAGCAGACGTCTTCTGAAATGAGCAGTACTGAGAATGGGGGCGGAGGCTGCAGTAGGGATAGGCAAACAAGGCAGCTGACTAGGGCAGCAGATTCATGGCACCCTGGGGCGTGCTCTGCCCCACACTAGCTGCTGCCGTGTGGGCTGTCTGTGTGGATCCTGCATCCATTAATGGTTCCTTAAAGTGCTTTGATCTAGTCTGGTTTCAAAGAGGACTAGATCAAAGCGCATTAACAAACTGTTAATGCACGTCAGTGGCACCCTGAGCACATTAGCACATGAGGCAGGGACCATGTAGTTGGAGGGCTCAGCTTAGTCCCTGGTGGTCTCCCCCTGGATGAGCCAGAGAATGAGGGGCCCCCCAGCCTGCCCCTCCTGTCCTAGTCTCCTGTTCCTCTCTATCCCTGGTGTCCTAGTCCAACCCCAGATAGCCCTGCCGCCCCCCACCCTCCTGGGATCCTGTCCCCATTTTCCATATCCTAACCTTCCCTGCCCCACCCCATCCTAGCCTTCTTGCCCCTGATCTCCCTCCTGTGTAGCTAGCCCTTCTTCCACCTGGCATCCTGCCCCCTGTCTATCCCACCTCGTCTGCCCCCATAGGCATTAGAGACAGAGGCCAAAGGGCCATTGCCCCCACCCCCAACACACTTTTAAAACCTGGCTGGGATGGAGCACACCGCAGCCTGGCCTGGCTGGCCTCTGGGTCCCACTCTGCTTCACACCAGCAGCTGAGCTGATCCCTCACCTACTGGCTACTGAAAGGGCACGGTGGCTTGTCTGGGAAGCAGGATGGACCCATCACCCAAGGGCCTCAGGATTGGCAGCTGGGAGGGTAAGATTGGGGGGTGAGATAGGGGCTTCAGACTGGGGCGGTGGGGGGGCTCCATCAAGGGGTCCAGAATGGTCAGGGCTTCCCTCCCCACACTTTTGCAGGCCTTCCAATTTCCATGCCCCTGATCCCCTGGGGTCTGTCCCTTTCCCCAGTCCTCCTTACCCCCTGGTGTCTTCCCCACCCCACCATGTCCTCCTCTGCCCCAGGAGCTGTTCCCTTGCCCTGTTTTCCTACCTCCCACTGTACCCCATTTGTCTCTGTATCCTGGTCTTAACACCCCCCCCCAGGTCCTGGCACCCCCAGTCCCACTCATCCAGTCTCCCTATATTATCCCCCACATTGTTCCACCCATGTATTGCATGCCCCCCTCCCGCCACCCACCTTCATGTCAGGAGTCCCCACTGGCCTGGTGCAACTCCCCCTGCATTGTAGGGTTCCCTTTGGATTGACACCCAGAAGGGTTTGCTTGCGGGAGGGTGGCTGGATGGACCCGTACGCCACAAGTCTCAGCTAGATCCCTATTGCAGGGCTGCTGGTTCCTCAGGATGGGGGATCCCAGTGTGGGGTCCTTCCAGGGCAGCCTATTTATGGAGGAGCACACTGCTTTACTTGCTGCACTGTGGCCCTGAAAGGGGAGTCATTCCTGTCTGTGCATGGGGTGTCCCCTTTGAAATGTGGGTGCTGTTTTAAAGGAGTCCTTTAGGTCCTATACATATTTATATCAGACCCTGGGCTGGGGTGGGGTCACTTACTTACCCACCCACCCACGCCAGGGCTGTAGCCAGACTTAGCCCCTCAGTTTTATCCAATACGTGTGGACCAGACTTTTCCTTGTACCCTTATTTTCAAATTTTGTGCCTACATGGGGGCTTCCCCCTCTACCCTTCCACAAGTCCCCAGCATGGGGGAGGCTCTGCCCCTTACGACCCTGCTGGGGGCTTTGCCCCATTGGCCTCGTCAAAAATTGTTCAAACCTGGCTCTGCCTATGTTAAGGAATTGTAAACGCGGGGTAGGCAGAGCACTGATGTAGTGCCTAGAGTGGCAGATTGTCTGACACACCCTCTGAGGGGGGCAGGGGATCTCCTTCATTTGAGGCATCAGGCTGCTGGCGAGGGTGGGGATAACTGGAAGTGGAGAAGGACTTGGCCTAGCAGTTGCTAAGTGGAGCAGTCTAATGCTCCAAATAAAGGAGACAACCAGAACGATGAAGGGTGTGAACTTAAGGCACTAAAGCTAGTCCAGTAGAACTCCCCAGGTGGATGCTTATTTTGGAATAAGAGTGTCCGACTCCACACAGAATGCTATTTCCCTGTGTGCACAAACCCGCAGCGACTGGGCATGTCTGGCTGGTGCTTGCTCTCACCTTCAGGTTGGACTGGAATGCTTCCTGCAGGGGCTTCACAAAGTTCTGGCTCATGTTTTCAGCTTCAGGATTAAAAATTCCATCCTGTGCTCTAGAAAACAATCACAAAGTTCCATGCAACACACAGTGCGCCTTGGGCCTCATCTCCACAGATCTTAGCTGCTCTCCTTCCCTGAGAGGTGAGACCAGACACAGATAGAGAAATTGAACTAGCTCATCTTGCTTTCCACAGTCACGTATGTGTAGGCTGGGACAGGACTATATGACTGTGTTGTGGACACCAAGGGTTAGACTCACTTAGTTGAGTGAGAGGAGGAAGGACCAAACTCAGGGGTCCATTATCTATCAAAGCCCCTGCTGAAAGAGTGGATTGATCATGGTGCATAAGCTCAGGAAATTACCCTTCCCAGGGCTCAGTTCTGTGAAGGTCAAGTTCTTAGGAGAGCCCAGGACAAGACAGCTTTGCCTAGGGTCCGAAAACCAGCTTCATTGGTGCTTTCACCCAACCAACCCCTCCATCTCTTCCTGGTGGCTTTCTCTCCTCCCCCTTTGTGCATGTACATGTTTGGTTTTAGCCATTAAACAATCCCTGGCATTAGCCTCCTCTGGACAGTAGGGCACAAGGGGCTACAAGAGCAGCCACTCAGGAAATGCTAAAACAGACAAATGAGAGAGAACAAAACAAACCCCACAAACAAGTACACCTCTACCCCGATATAACAAAAAATCTTACCGCGTTATAGGTGAAACCGCATTATATCGAACTTGCTTTGATCCACCGGAGTGCGCAGCCCCATCCCCCCGGAGCACCGCTTTACCGCGTTATATTCGAATTTGTGTTATATCGGGTCACGTTATATTGGGGTAGAGGTGTATTTTGCAGTTTCCCAATTTTAACTTTTATGGGAGGCTGTAACACTGCATTTCTTCCACACGGTGGTGCAATGTGAGATTACAAATCCTCTCCCTCCCCACATTTTCAAGATGTCTCCAGAAAATCTTTGTTTCTACTGGCTCCAGGGCTGGCTCCAGGCACCAGCAAAGGAAGTAGATGCCTGGGGCAGCCAATAGAAAGGGGTGGCGGGTCCTTCACTCTTCCTCTTCGGAGACAGTTCAGCAGCAGCTCAGTCAGGTTTTACTTTTTTTTTTTCCTCTCCTTCGCCGCTTGGGGCGGCAAAAAAGCTGGAGCTGGCCCTGACTGGATCCAGAAGAAACAGCTAGACACTTAAGAACATGTTCTCCTAAAGTAAAAGTGCCCAGGGTTCTATTTCTGTTACAAATGGAGGCTAAGCCAGCTCTGTAGTTAGTTTCTCTTCCTCCATTTTCCCCTCAACTTCTAGTGGGGTTTTATTTTATAGAGGTGCTCTAAGGTCCCAATCAAGATTAGAGACAGGTTAAGTGGACATGACATCAGCCCTGAAGATCTTGTCCTTTAAGAAGAGGAGCACCATACAGAAGTGAGCAGGGAAATATAATGTTTATAATTTACTTGTTTTGCCTTATTTAAATGATCATCAATTTATGCCCCGCTGCCTCTTCTTGGAGGAGCTGTGATAAAAGTGGGCAGTTGAGAAGGGCTTTGGGGGAGGCAGTGGTAATGGTTTTAGATTAGTTTTGGGGATGGGTTTTCCAACTCTGGGAGGAGTGGAGAAATGGGTAAGCCAGGCTAGCATCACTGGTGGAGAGAGAATTAGACAATGCGAAGTAGTTAAAGGCAGAGTTTTAAAGACCCTCACAGGTTTCTTGATATTATAATACTAAGTTCCTTTGTAAAGCATTTAAGATCTACTGATGAAGAGTGCTTTACAAAAGAGGTAGGTATTATTACAATGAGATCCACTTCTGAGCTAACTCCTTAGTGTCTCCTCCTTGAGTTGCCTCATCCTCCCTCCCTATTAGTTGGTACAGTATGATCTATACACTTAGGGCCCAGTTGGGCTCCCAGTGACATGAATATCTCTGCATACACTTCCTGGGGAGCAGTGCTAGGTCTTCAATGTGCTGTTTGCCACCTGTTCTATATCTGAGTTTAATTTAACACCAGCTTCTCTCCAAAAGCCTCCCTTGTGAGATATCACCACTGATCACAGCAATAAGCCATCATGGGGGCACCCTAGCAGGTTATTGCACTAGCCTTAGGTGTCTGTGTGTGTGACCTAAACCTGAGAAATGCACTGCCACCCTTCTCTCATACACATCTGGGGGTGGCTTATTGCTATTAGTGTAGGGCCCAATAGTGTTATTTAACTTAAACGACCCCCACTTTGTGTCTGCCTTGCCGTGTTTAGTGCCTCCTCCCCCTATGAAAGAGATCCTGTAGAAGGATAAGAAAAGAGAGAAAAAACCTTTTCCCCTACTATTCTGAAAATATTATTATTTATATTACGGTAGTACCTAGAGTAAATTTGATAGTTCATTGCCATAATGCTCTAGGATGCATGCAATCCAGACTGGACAAGAACTGTGTGCTTATTTTTGTTGTTAAAGGCAGACTCCAGAAAGCAGCTCTCCTACTCAGCCATTTTAGAATCTTTGGTCATTTCACATACGCACCTGCTCTTTTAGAATCAGGCTTCTCCCACTGTTATTCCAGCCCACTCATGCGGTGCCAGGGTGAATTGGGAGTTGGGCTGGGTTGGATTGAGAGGAGGAGCAAGCGAGCAGCAGGTGGGAGTGAAACACACTCAACAGGAATTGAGAAATGTTATACAATGTGTCTTTCCACCATGAGAGCTCCACTACAAGTATTTCTCTCCCTCTCTTTCATTTCTGAGCAGGGTAACAAAGGTTACAGCATAGGGCACACATTAGTGACCCCTTCAGAGCCTGTGCACACAAGTCCACAGATACAAAGTTTGAAAGACCCAGTGAGCAGGAGTCTCCAAGAAAGGGGGGAGAATCCTGCAGAAAGGGAAGAAAGCCTGAGCCTGGGGACAAAAGGTAAGAAAATCCACCTTTAACAGGAGGGATGGTGGCAGCCCCTTGCATGGGCTGGGGAGTGGAGGCTTCCCATGGGGTAGATGATCAGAAGAAGCATGAATACTGCACTGGGGGTTCTCTCTGCCAGCCTAGAGACTCTTCCTCCCTGAGCATCCAGCAGTGCTAGCCAGTTGTGAAGGGCTCCTTGACTCAGCTTCTTCTGGATTCCGTAACTTTTCGTGACTTCTGCAATAGCTGGTGCTCACAGCCCCTGGGCCAGCAGCAGCAGTTTGGGTGTGTGGGAGGGGGCTGGGGCAGGGGGTTGGGAGGTGTGGGGGGCACTTACCTCAGGGTCGGAGGCTCCCTGGCTCCCACTGGCATGGCTCTGCAGCTCCTAAGCAGAGGGACCAGGGGGCTCTGCGCGCTGCCCCTGCCCGCAGGCCCTGCCCCCACAGCTCCCATTGGCTGCGGTTCCCGACCAATGGGAGCTGCGCAGCTGGCACTTGCGGTGGGAGCAGCGCACGGAGCCCCCTGGCCCCTCCGCTGACTAGGAGATGCAGGGACACGTGGAGCCGGGTAGGGAGCCTGTGAGCCCCGCCAACCCTACCCCCCATCACTATCAGGGGACCCGGGCTGTGTGCTGCTGCCCACCCGCCCCCCACCCCAGCACCAGCGGGGGGTCCTAGGCCACCTTCCCCAGCACCCACGGCGCCCCCAGGCCCCCTTTCCTCCCAGAGGCCCCCAGGCCAAAGTTTTAGTTAGGGGTATATAGTAAAAGTTATGGACAGATCACGGGCTGTGAATTTTTGTTTACTCCCCGAAACCTGTCCATGACTTTTACTAAAAATACCCGTGACTAAAACGTAGCCTTTGTTATGAGGGAGCAGCAAGCAAGAGAGAACCTGTGTCCATGCACTTTTCGGTAGGTGAACACACACCTGCCATAGGTTAGGTGAAGGAACCTGTGGAAGGGGAATGGGACTTGCTCATGGAAGTGGCACTACCGCCCTGTCAAAAGCTGAGCAGGGCTCTAGCTTTGTTTGTGTTTGGCTGTGTGTCACGGAGCAGTTATACACCAAGCTTATTTAATTCCTATCAGTATTAAATCCTTAACTCTACTTTCCACACATGGAAAGGGTTTTTATTCACACCTGCCCTCCAGTGCACCACCCACCCTGGGCATGGGCACATGGAAAGGGGCGGACGGTAGGTATTGGCTATGCTTGTGCATCACTCACATGATCATTAGGACACTGGCCTGGATTTTGTTCAAGAAGCTCACACACTGCTCCAGAGTCAGGGAGTCGTGATTGTGCTGCAGATGCAAAGACAAATGGAGATACAGACATCCACAGAAATTCCAGGGGGGAGGGGTTGGGGGGCAATGCATTCACTGTTTGGCCTGGAATCTGGTATTTGACACAACATCCTATTGGCTATGCTGGGGCCTGGGTAGGACTTATCAGTGCAGCAGGGTTTTGCAATGTAGGTCTACACTGCAATCACAGGGGTGATTGCAGAGCACATACAGACATGCACACTAGCTTTAATCTAGCTAGCATGGCTAAAAATGCAGTGAAGATGTGGCGACACAGTGGCACAGGCTGTACAAGCCTGTCTGGACCCTAGGTATGTACTCGCACCCTAGCCCATGCTGGGGTCCATGCTGCCGTCTCTCACTGCTGTTTTCTTGCTGTGCTAGCTGGATTAAAGCTAGCCCAGCTATCTCTATCCAAGTTGCAGGCCCACCGTGATAAGTGAAAAACCCTTGTGATCTTGTTAGGGCAACAAGGTGTCTGGAGCTATGAAACAAGGCACCTCTTTCTACCAACTAGGGTTTCAAAATTGCAATAACACCAGTACATCAAAGCCAAGTGCTGTAATACGTTCAAGAATGAGAACGGTCTCAGTTCTGAGCATTTCTAGTGGGTGTCTGACACACAAGGCTACCTAGGCCCCAGAGTGACTCTGAGAGATCACGTGACTAAAGTTACCCCATTCACACAAAGTTGTTAGTAGAGAAAGTTTTTAGAAAGCCTTTCCTAAAAGAAGGCTGGCTATCTCTTGCTTGGGTCCCTACCTTAGGGCAGACAAAATGAGGACTGAGGGAAAGTCTACACTTAAACTGCTGCGTCAGCGCTTTGATGAAGACACTCTACGGCCGCCCGCTGACGGGAGAGAGCTCTCATCGGTTTAGTTAATCCATCTCCTGAGAGGCAGGAGCTACGTCAGCGGGAGAAGCAGCACTGTCTATGCGGGGGGTTAGCTCAGTATAACTGCGTTGCTCAGGGATGTGGAGTTTTCACACCCCTGAGTGACGTAGTAATTCCGATGTAGGTCTGTAGTGTAGGGCAGACCTGACTCGTTGAAAGGTAGGACAGTCGGACAAGGTGTAGGATATCTGATCACCCCAACTCATGCCCCCACTCTTCTTCCAAGGCAACCCCACAGAAGGGAAAACAAGCTGAAAAGCTGCCCCTAAGCATCCTCCCACTCTCTCAGGACTTAGGATAGGGAGGGAGAGGACTTGTTCAGGATGATCTGAAAGGGTCCAACTTGCTCTGCTTGTGAAATCCCATTAACTGCAGTGGGGTTTCAAAGCTGTATGGCACATTCAACCTATTAGAGTGTAAAACAGTCTCCCAGAGGAAGCTCTGCCATTTATATAACTTAAGATGGGGGGGGGGGGGAAGGAGGGAGAAGCACTGAACAAGCCTGGGGCAGGGGCGCTGGAGCAATTTGTATAGTGGGGGAGCTGAGAGCCATTGAACCAAACTGTAAACCCTGGATATGATGGAAACCGCACCCCTAGTTCCAGCACCTATGGCCTGGGCTTTAGGGTGGTGGGAAATGGAACCCAGATGTGATGTGACCTAAAATGGGAAGGTTTTTTTCCCTCTCAGCAAAGGGCCCTGTCACAGTAAGGGGCAGGGGAGAACGTCAGTACTCACCGTAAGGGCTCTCATGTCTCTGTTATACACCAGGCCTGGGAAGAAAGGAGAAAGAGTTATTTACACCCCACAGGGTGGGAATTCACACTGGGGTTCCAGCTCCCCCCCCCTGCTTTTTAGCTACCCCAGGGTCATCTTGGGGGAAGGGGAGGAATGATGGATTGGGGATTTCTTCTTTTTACTCAAGTGTTAAATGAATTAAGCCCCTTGGCCTGAGGGGAAAGGTGGGCTTGGACCTCAGTTGTCGGGTACAGGAAGCTCCACCCAGGGCCGGTG